TTCCAGTTTGGTTGTCATTGGCCATGTTTCTGCACCATATAACAACACCGGACGTATCACAGATTTATAAAGTCTTGATCGTAGTGGTAGTGGGATGTCACGCCGCATCAATATAGAGGCAAGGAGATGCCATTTATTCCAGGCTGCACGTATGCGTGCTCGAACGGCAGCTTCAGCTGTTCCAGTACAATCCAGAACATCTCCTAGATATTGAAACGATGTGACTTTCTCTATTTTAATGGCTTCAAAAACATTGCTATTTCGAATTTGTTGTTGTGGATTGATGCAAGCAGGACAAACAAAATTGGACACTTTAGATAAAGTACCAATTATTTTTGAACAACGTTTGTGACACCACTGATTACACTGCTGACACTTGATTGAATTGTTACCTACACCAGCTTTACAAACTGAACAGGGCCATCGTCCAGTAGCTGTGGATTGGATGGGTTCACCAGTGTTCATTGCTTTGGTTTTGCTGATGTTGACTTTGAATCCATGATCGGCGAGTCTGGTGTTCCAATCTTCAAACATCTGTGCTGCATTCTGCTCAGACGTGGCTGTTAAAACGATATCAGCATATACTAGATTCCAAATGTCACCAGTGCGTATCGGTTTTGTGATTTCTTCCATCACAGTTATAAATAACAGTGGACTGAGAATCGTGCCTTGGTGAACTCCAACGCCGATGTCAAATGCATCTGTGTTTCCAACCGTTGTGCTGACAAAAGTCTTAGTATTCGTATACATTTCCATCACAAGTCGAACAAGATATTCTGGAATGAATTGTCGACGTAGACTCCATCTGATTGCTTCACGGAGAACTCGATCAAATGCTTTTTCAAGGTCTACAAAAATGTGTGATAGTTGTTGATGCCTTGCGAGGTACTTCTCTTGCAGTTGCCGAAGGATGTGAATTGCATCAATTGTTGATTTCCCCGCTAGAAAACCAAATTGATAATTTCCGATTGTGGTGCACGACGTTAATCTTCTCTCAATGATTTTTTCGACAATTTTCAGGGGGTGTTCTAACAGACGTATACCCCGATATGATGAACAGTTCAATGGATCACCTTTGCCTTTGTATAGCGGGACTGTCATGCTATAGTTCCATTCCGAGCAATTTCTCCAGATTTCACGGCAAAGTTGTAGTAACGTTTGGATAATAATGCTAATTGATAATATATATAATATATATATATATTTACAAAAGTTATAGAAAAACAACGAACTACAAACATATTAACGCCAAACATTCGGTAGAATTTATAGAATATTGTAAAAATTATGGTCTATTACCAACATATATATATATTAAATCAAATCCTTGTTAGTTAATCAAACAAAACAAAAAATATGAATGATTCAGAGACCAAAAAAATTAATTCTTGTGGGCTCGGCCACCGCGTAAATTAAAATGATTTTTCAATGTTCTGATGAATATAAATTAGAAATTAAATGAGTGTAAATTAGAATAAAAAAAATTGTTAATAGAAAAAAAAATGTATCAATGTTAAATTATTATCCTTTAAAAACAACTTTTCGTAATTAAATATTTTCAGTTTATTTTTTAAAAGATACAAAGAGTTACAATCTATAATTTCCTATGGAATTGTTTCCCATATTCCTGGGCCGGTATGTTTCATTCAGAGTAATTTAATGGAACATATGTGTGTGTGTGTGTGTGCGGCGCGTGCATAAATTTTTCAATGAATTGACCAAGACAATCATCAATGAATTGGTGGAGAGAATCATGCTGCTCGGAATGGATAAACGTGTAAAATTTAGTCTCGACCCAGCATCTTGGATTAACACTGATCACTGATAATTAATAAATGGCTGAATGCTGCTGAACGAAATTGAGCCTTACAATCGAATTAAATTTATTATACAGTTATAGAACGATGATCGCAAAAATGTTAGTGGGACGTTTAAAAATTTTTGAAAGTTTATTTGTGTTAAAAAATACGGTCACGATATGTAAAGACATCTTACATAAAATTTTGAAAGTTCGTTGACAGTTTTAGTTTTATACACATATGGCTTTGTTTAAGAGTACATGATTTTTTCCAAATATTTTATTATCTTTATAAACTTATGGAAAACTTTAATGGACATTCGACAAAAATACCCATTTAATAATCCACAATCGAATAACCGACATTCAACATGGAACAGTTAAATTGCAAAAACGATTCTCATGGAAGTTACGTTTTCCAAACGCATGATGAAAAATCTAACCACTAAAAGTGTCAAATCCAAAACATTGCAGCTATGTAAATTGTAGTAACTCATCAAATAACATGATTTGTGTACTTCCAATCATACATTCCGAAGTACCGCCAAAGTTAACAAACCTTAAAATTTTTACGGCGGGTTAATTTATTTAATACAATAAAATTTAAAAAAAATAAGTGAAAATAACCTAATACATAACAGGCGATATGTTTGTGTTGCACAGTTGCATAAAAGTATGGAGGAAGTGGAGATGGTTCATTTTGTAATGGTACAAACAAAAAAATTACGAGCAATACTATGGTCAGTGCCATCCACCAGTTTAAGCGTAAGCCATTGTTACGTGGTTCTGCAGTTTGAAGATGTTAATTACAAAATATTTAACAATTTCATCAACAATATCTGTCGTAATAAACGTATTTATCTTTCTAACCATGGTTGATGATTAATTAAATGGAAAAAACAGTCATTTAATTTTTTAAATGTTTTCCTTAGGTAATAAAGATAGCAGGTAAGCAATAAGATTAATGATATAATAAATAATAATGAATGACAATGCAATTATCAATTGATTAGATAGGGAAAAAGGAATAACATGAGATGTATAGTGGAATTGATAAATTTCAGAATCTTATAAAACAAAAATTTGAACATAGTGTAGTTGCTGAGAAAGTAAAAAACATAGATTAAAGTTAATGAACTATTCAACATTGACATAAGTTTCGGTTCAACAGTATTTCAATATTTGGAGGTCATCAGGGAAGAGCAAAAATCTGTCACTTGTGTTGAATGGTTATATTTCTACACATTTTTACTTTTATAAGTCAGATTTAAGTTTTAGCAAAAAATTATTAAATATATAAAAATGCAAGCAGCCCATCAGCCAATTTTGAATTGATTTGAAAAAATATTTAAATCCACAAGAACTGAAAGAAAGACTTGATGAAAAAACTAAAGCGAATGGTCTATAATGTAAAAAACACTGTTTCAACCCAAACTGTAAGACAGGTATAAACTAATGGAATGATGTTGAGAAATAAAAGGAAAAATAGGAGAAGAAAACAAGAAAATCAGGTGAATCACTCATATTAAGAAATTTTAGCTTGGAAAAACTATGTAGTAAGATTCAACCTGTTGTATGATTGTGAAGAAGAGCAAAGTATACAAAAAAAAATTATACCACAATGCATTGCCTGTAAATGAAACCGAAGAGTTAGTTGACTGGACATTTGGCAGTGACTGAAAGTCATCATCTAGCTGGTAGAAGTTGGGTTGTTTCAAAGCCGTGGGCATCAAAACAGATTCCAGTTCTTTTTTTCCTATTTTACGTAAAAAAATACTACTAGTTTCCTCAAGATTAACTTTTTGTTAAAAATTAATAAACACAATAGTAACTTAGTTTGAGATTGGAAAATCTTCGAATGACCAACCAATGATTTTTGATGAGCCTTGCTTCATGACTTGAATTCTAAATCTGTCTGAAACATTTTCCTTGCAACCCACAGCAGCCAAATGCTTAAAAATTCTTTAAAAATATAAAAATGGGAAATTTTATAATTTCAATCTTTTCAAAACTTAATTTTAACTGCAAACAAAAAAATAGAAACATTATGTTAGAACAATTGGCAACTTACAGATCTATAGAACATCCAGCTTTAATGCAGCCTTCTGGATTATAAACTTTATATTTCTCCCTTGCGGTGCTTAAAACTAAGTTTTAAATTGATAAAATAAAAGTGTTAACAAAATATTTTAAACTCAAAAAAATGTTCCAACATTTTAATTTTCATCAACAAAATTGGGCTTAAGATGAACCACTTAGATAAAATACATAAAAAATTTATTTAGATAATAGCTTAATTAATGATTTTTTAACCAAAAATAGATGACACGTGTAAAAGTTAAATTAACACTCTTGAAATTATTATCAATGTTATCATTGTTTTTATCAAACATGAATTAAGAGATGGAGGAGAATAAGCCGACAAATGCAGCTGCTTAATGAATAAAAACTTTAGAAACATGTTTTTAGACAAGAAATTTTAGTCAAGGGAAGCATGTTTTGAAAACCAATTTTTTATTTATATTCTTGTCTTGATGTCTGCTACTGCAGCAAGAAAGAGTTGAACAAAAGCTAAAGAACAATATATATTATATATGTATGTATATATATATACAATATAAATAATGCTCCACAAAATAATTAATTTAGAATCTAAATTTTAGATTGGTTTCAATCTCTCTTTCGTTTTCATCATATTTTTGATGATGATGGGTTTCTTTGATTTAACAAAAGAATAAGAGAACAGCAGGTGTTGCATTCAGCAATTTCAAAAATTAACCCTCCCAACATCTGCCTGTTAGTTAACGCTAACTAACCTAATCCTAATGCTAACCCTCTAGCTCTAGCCCTAGCTGCATTGTCTAACGACTAATGTCTAACAAACCATGCAGATTTTGAAGGCAGAGTGAAAACCTGGCTAACCCCATTGCCTATGAGAATGACGAAATATATATAAATTTGCAAAATTAAATCCTTACTTTTGTATTTTATGTTAAAACTGTACGGATTGTACAATTTGATCAGCTGTTGGTGGGATGACGAATCATCTGAATAAAAAGATAGGGAATTGTGGTTTGTAAACACGGGAAGTTGCATCTCAGCAGACTTATCAACGGGGTATGTATTTTTATTCATAGTTATAAAAAAAACTGCTTAACTTCAATAAACACTAAAAAAGCAAACAACGAACAGCACGAAGTTAAATTTACTATTTAAAAAAAACACGTAGGTTACGACGGTAGTTTTTAGCGCACGTATACAGAAAAAAGGAGGAAATGGCACGACTAGCACTATATATCATTATTATTATTGTTGTTATTATAAAGTTTACACAGCGCTACACAAAGGCACTTGGTAAAAATCAAATATATATATATGTATATATATATATGGCGGAAGGAGACCATTTTTTATTCAGTATTGCTTAAATTTGATTTTTACCGAGTTGTTTGCATTAATCAATTTAAAGTTTATCTTTTCAATTTTCCTTACTAGAATTATCTAGAAATTTTTCTATTTTTATTGAAAATAGAATTATTATCTAAGTTCGTCATGAAAATTTAATGAAACTGTTGGTATCCAAATTCATCATGCAGATAAGGCCTTATTTCGATTTTTCACAAATCATCTTCAGTGCAGGTTTGGTTTATACCATGGATATAAATATTCATATTTTATTATTATTGGTTTAACGTTCCTTTTATGATTTGTTTGAAGACGACATCGTTTATTTTATATGCCGTTGACACATGAGTTCTGTAATATAGGTTTATGTCGTTGTCATTGTTATTTTTGAATATAATACTATTTTACTCTAGTCTTTGTTGAATGGTGCTTTCAATGGATGATGTTTTGTAACTATTGCTTACTAGTAGATTAGTAATTCTTTTCAGTTCCGTATTGCGATCTTCAGTTGAGGATGAATGCGTGAATGCATGGTTCACAAAAAATGTTATTGTACTCATTTTAAATTGTTCCGTGCATTCACTTAGGCCATTTAAACAAATACTTTTATATGTGGCTTGGACATATACGGTAGTTGTAAATCTTTGTCATCCAAAAATGGCAATAAGTTTGACCGGTCCAGCCTATCCAAACGAATACCATTCTTTTCACTCCTGCGCACTGTTCTTCTTGGTTTGGTGTTCTCATACATAGCGCAACCGCAATAAATTGGTGACCTCAAGAAACATTGGAGAAATTTTTTTTTTTTTTTAGGTTTTACGGCACTGCAGCTCCCAAGATGGTGCTATAATGTGCCAAAAATTGATGTATATTGATAATAATATTATTTTTGTTTATCATTATATTTTCTGTTTTATTTAAATTTGTCTTATTAGGGGAAATAATCTCATAATCATCACCGTCGACCGGGGACATTCCAATCAAACCACATCGAGCCACCATCTCGGAATCTGAGAAAAGTTGTTGATAGATGTGTATTCTAATAGGTTCGGTCATATTAATAATAATTTACCGATCCATTTGAGTTAGCGAGAAGTAGATATATAAAAAAAAAAAACCCAAACTGAAGACCAGGAGTACTAGAAGTTGACGCCAGCAGGGGAGGGGAAAGTTCACCAAATCTGCGCCAGCCCCGCCAACCAATGACCCCAACCCCAGCGCACTCACCTGAATTCAATATAGTGCTTTTTTTCTTTTTTTTTAAATGAATTGGTGTCTGAGTCCGTACCATGACATTTTACCCATAGCCGACACTCGAGATACCTTTGAGAAATATGTTTATTTCCTGTTTATGGCATTTGAAACTCCACCATGGTAATTAGCCACAGCAGATTCTTTGGGGGAAGAGGTTAAACCCCTTTATAGCATTTGAGCATCCACCAAGGTGATTAGCCACAGCAGACTCTTGACATACCTTTTAGGGAAGCATATATTTTCTCCGTATCTCATTTGAGTTATCACCATGAGGTTTGTCCACGGCAGGACCCTGACACGCTATCAAGGATGGTTATTAATTTGTGTTTTTACATAAGCATGAGTAGATTATTATTCTTCTATATATTTATACAGGTGAGCACCGCAAAGCAAAAGCCATTCATCAGCAAAAAAAAAACTGGATTATTGACCAGTGCCCATCCCCCTTCCAAAGCATCGCCACCCCAACACTCCTAGCCACAGTGTAACCATTAAATCTACATCCGTATTTGTTGTAATTCGAGAAAAGGAAATGGTGGATACGTGATTAAGTACAAGCGTGATATGCATATAATCTAAGCTTATTTGGCTTAACCCAGACTCCGCAACAATGTCCCGACATGGCCCAACTAAAATTATCCCCGCCCAACAGCATGGTTTCTAGAGATATTTTTGTGTATTTTATATTTTATCATAGTAATCTAAATCTTTTAGATATTCTATCATTAAGATGATATTTTCTTTTGTTTTTAAAATGTCATTCGGATTATCAGGTAAGAATAGGGAATTCCTTTTTTCTTTTGTTTCACTGCAATTAAATATATGTTTTACAGTTAATTTATTATTACAAAATTGACATATTGGTATTTCTGTTTTGTTTAGGATATAGTTGTGGGTGAGACTAGTATGACCTATCATGATTCTATAAATTTTGCTTAATGTAAATCTATTGTTAAATGTTTTAATATTTGTTGTTTCAATATATGGATGTATTTGTTGAAGATGCGTTTTTGTTTGATCCCAATCGATTTGCCATAAAGTTTTAAGATAATTTGTTATGTTTGGTTTCAAATCGGAATGTGGAATTTTAATATCTATAATAGGGATGTGATGGATTTTTATTGCTAATGTGTCAACATTTTCATTGCCACGTATTCCTATATGGCTGGGTATCCATACTATCTGAATGCTAAATTTATTTTGTATTAATTTATGTATTTTGATTTTCATGTTTTTGATCAATTCATTGTTTATTTCAATTTGTCTGAGAGCTAGTACAGCTGATAAAGAATCTGTCATTATGATATATCTTTTATTGTTTTCATTTTTTAGATGATCTAAGGCTAAATTAATTGCCTGAAGTTCTGCTGTATAAATTGATGCATTATTTGGCAAATGCTGTTGGATCTGTTGTTTATCTATAATAACTGCAGCGGATGTAGATTCATTTATTTTAGACCCATCAGTGTATATAGTTGTATGATTCTTATGTTGAAGGAGAAATTCATTAATTATTGATTTGATTATATTTGCATCTGTTATTTTATTATATTTTGTTAGGAATGTATTGATTGTTGGTTGATTTAGTTTCCAAGGAGGAATGTAGTCAATGGATTTATTTAAAATATTATTATTAAATGTTTTTATATGGTTGTCTATTCTTAGACTAAATGGTTTTATTTCTTTATGTTTTTTATTAAAAAGGTTTTTATATATTGAAGGGGTGATGTATTGGAGTGCCGGGTTATTTGTGTTGCAAATAGTTTTGTAATAATAATTTAATGATAATTTTAAGTGGCGATTAATTAAGGGCATTTCCATGGCCAAAACTTGTAGGTTTACAGATGGAGAGGTTTTATGGACACCTAAGCATCTTCTTAGTGATTCATTTATTATAGGATTGAGGATATTTAAATAAGATTTCCTAGTGCCTCCATAGACTTGTAATCCGTAATCTAATATTGATCTTATCTTTGCTTTATATATTATCAATAATTTATTTTGGTTTGCTCCCCATTTATAATGAGATAGAGTTTTAATTAAGTTAAGAGGTTTGATACATTTATTCTTGATATATTGAATATGAGGGATGAAGTTTAATTAATCATCAAATATTAAACCGAGAAACTTATATTGTCTAACAAATATTAATGAGGTGTTTTTAAACATTAGATTTGGATAACTTTTTTTTCTTTTATTGGAGAATAACATGGCTGCTGTTTTAGATTCGGAAAAAGATATTCCATTTTGTATTGCCCAAGTATTTATTAATTTTAATGTGAAATTTAATTTCGTTTCTATATTTTTAATAGTTTTGTGTTTATATGCGATTGTGAAGTCATCAATATACAGAGATTGAAATAAATCTTTTGGAATATATTTGCATATACTGTTTATTTTAATACAAAATAGTATGGTCGAGAGTATACTTCCTTGGGGAATTCCCATTTCGAGATCTTTATAGTTTGAAGTTTCGTTTTTTATTTTAACCCTAAATTTTCTGTTGTAAATAAATTTAGATATGAATATTGGTAGTCGACCTCTAAGTCCAGTATTATATAGATCATTAAGAATTCCATATCGCCATGTTTTATCATAAGCTTTTTCTACATCAAAAAAAATTATTATTACTTGCTCATCGCATATCAGAGCTTCCCTGATGAAGGTTTCTAGTGATATTAAATGATCTATAGCACTTCTATCTTTTTGACCTCCACATTGTGTGTATGATATTGTGTTATTTATATTTAGATGGAATGTTAACCTTTTTAATATTATTTTTTCAAAGATTTTACAGAGAGTGTTGTTAATGAAATAGGTCTGTAATTTTCAGGGTTGATTTTTGATTTACCAGGTTTAGGTATTGGGAATACCAAAGCCTCATGCCATTCATTTGGAACATCAGCTTGTGTCCAAATATGATTGAATGCCTTTTCTAATGCTTGTAGGGTAAGTGAGGGTAGTTTTTTAAGAATATTATATGTTATTTGGTCTGGGCCAGGAACAGAATTTTTGCTGGATATTATGGCATGTTCTATTTCTGATAATGTTATTAAGTCGTTATACGATTCGCTGTTTGTTGAATTAAAGTCTAATTTAATATTTTCCTTTATTTTCATATAATTTATTGACTCCACTTGATGATTTTTTAGGGAGGAGTTGTTTTTAAATTGATTTGCTAGAATTTGTGTAATTTCTTTTAATGTTTCATAGGTTTTGTTTTTATATAAGATACTGCTTAAGCGACTGACATTATTTTTATTGTTTATCTTGTTTACAATAGTCCATATTTGTTTCATTGGTGTTTTTTCATCAATGCAGTTAACATATTTGTTCCAAGTGTTAGATTTTTCTTGTCTAAATGATTTTCTAGCATTAGCTTGTAGTTTTTTATATTCAAGAAGATTGGAAAGATTGGGAAATTTTTTGTATTTATTGAATGCTTTTAATTTGAGGAGTCTGCTTTTTTTACATGT